CCACCGCCCGGCTAGAGAAGCTTTGTGAACTAGAGTTAAAGAGCACAGCCATCAGCACCTCCCAAGGCAAAGAAGGCGGGCTGTGCACGCTGTGCTGGCATCTCCCAAGATTGCTTTCTTCTGTTTCTGTATTTGAATCAGCGTGTTTAGCACCAATTTGCGCTTGCTTTATTACTTGACATCTAGCTGAAAGTACCTGAATCACTCACTGGGATTTATCTTTGAAGACGGTCTGTGCCTCATTGTTTACAGTCATGCACCACATTACGTCTCTGTCAGTGACGGGCCGCACACACAGCCCGTAAGTTAGAGCAGAGCTAAGAAATCCCCGCAGCCTGGTGACAGCATAGTCTTCATGGGCGATGCCCCATTAGGAAGTCAGTCGAAGAGATGGGGAGATGGTTAGGATGGCCACGAAAAGCTGCGGCGAGTCAAAGAGCTTGAGGTGGGAGGCGTGTCGCCCTGCTTCCGGCCCCTGTGGTTTTCTGATTTGCAATTCCTGGTATCAGTGTGCGGTGCACATGCATATAATGTAAGTTAAATAACAGAGTGTTCTGTGGGTTTCTCTATGGCCCCCTCTGTGCACTGAGATTCCGAGAAGGTGTCTGCAGTGAACAGGGCTGAGGAGGATGGACAGCTCAGGGCGTGGCAGCCCTCCCCAGTGCGGCTGGCCACCCCACCATCCCCCCACCCCCGCCACTGACAGGCACCTGCACAGACGCCTCCTCCCAGCAGATGCATCCGATATGACTGGGATTAAGTGGGGATTCACATTCGGTGGCAGTGCAGGGCGCGTTAGAGGTCAGGAGGTGCCGTACACTGAGCTGGAGCTCTGTGCCCTCAGCGAGGGAGAGGGTGGAGCCCTAGACATTTCTGTTCTGTTTACCATCGTCTGCAGAGTGATAGGCAGCCCCATTCCTCCTAGGAGATGGAAGGTTTCGTTGTTGTTTTTGTTCAAGGTCAGAGCTATGTCAGTAATAGTCTTCTAGGGCAAAAACATCTATTTCTATAGCTGCCACATGATACAAGTTTGGGCCAGCTGGGGGGGGGCAAGCCTTGTGCTCAGCCAGGCTCCACAGAAGAACCTGTAGTCTGTGTGTGTTAGTGGATGAGTGAGGGATAAAATCCTAGAAAAAGTCTGATGTGCGCTTCTCCTATGCAGAAATAAATAAAAAAGGAGGAATGAGCATGACATGAAAACCTCACAGGAGGACCATTGAAAAAGAGTTTTTGGATGGGTGTTGTAGAACCAACTCAGCCATCTCCCCCCCCCATAACTACAGAGCCCCAACCTGTGTCCAGTGCCTGTCCGAGCTGACCACTCTGATTACACCTCCCTTCCAGGCAGTGCCCACTGCGAATCAGGCTTCACCTGCAGCTGCTGATGCCGATGGGAGCTGGAGCCTGCCCTTCCTAAGCCCTCCCTCTCCCTGGCATGCTGGCTTCCACTGTGTTAGCCCCTTCCTGCTCTGCCTCACAGGCTTCCTGCCAAGAGATGCCTCCAGCAAACCTACCAGAGTCTGCAGTCCTGTGTATCAGGAACCCAGACTCAGGCTTAACTCATTTGCAGAATACTCACAGAGCTGTTTTGACCCTTAAGGCTTGCGTTCTGGGATGTTTCAGCCCATTTAATTTAATGTTTCTGAAATTTGCTATAAACTAGTCAACCGGAGGCTCTTACTTATTTACTAATTGTGTAGCCGTGGGTGACTCAGACTGCCTGCTCCGATTCTAAGGATCTAAGCGGCACCTCTGTCGAGAGGGTATCTCTGTGCTCTCCCCACTATGCGCACATGTGCTGTCCACACTATGTGCGCATGCGCCTTTCTACCTGGTAGACTGGTTAGCAGTGTCCCTTCTTCACTAAAAAATGCTAGTAGGATGTAATAGTTTAGTGGAAGGAAGGGAAAACATTTCCAGTTTACATACCTGATAAGGAACTTGTGTCCAGAATACATCAAGATACCTTACAAAACAGCAAACAAGAAAAGACAAATACTCTCCCCATTGGGAAACTGGCAGATTTGAGCCGATGACGTGCAGACGGCTGATCGTCCATGGAAGCAGGCTCCCTCTCAGTAAGTCAGTCATCTTCATTCGTCACTAGAGCCTGGCAAATCAGGAGCATAGCACCGTGTGGCGCATGTCCTCTAAGATGACGACCATTAGGAAAGGGGGCAGTCATAGTGAGGGTGTGGAGGCGACGGGGTCTTCCCCGAGACCATGGGAGTCATGGAGATGTTCAGGAAACGTGTCTGGTGCTTCTCCATGAACAGAGACCAACCATATGGCTCGATCGTTCCCTCCCTATAACTGATATGTGTCCACACAGAACGTGAATATAAATGTTCTTAGCGGGATTTACCGTAACAGCCAAAAGCAGGCATAATTTAACACCAGTCAGCTGGTGAGCAGAGGAGTAAGACGTGGCATGTGCAGGTGTGCGGTGTTGTTCAGTAGCAAAAGGGCTCAGGGAGCACTGCGGGAGGGGCCAGAAAGAGCGAAACAGCAGGAGGAAGGGGTGGAGAGCCGTGGACGGCTGGCCTGGACACGGCACAGCTGTTACACATGTTAACCAACGAGACCTCCACAAGATCAAGAGAGTTAAAATTCCAGCATGGAGAAGGGAGACCTGCACACGCGCGCGCACACACCCCTAAGGAGTCAATGGCAATTGATGGGTGTTGGATGTTGAGAGAGACCGGCCTGGTCTTCCACAAACTGAGTTCCAGGACAGCCAAGTTTACACAGAGAAACCCTGTCTCGGAAGACAAAAACACAAATAAAATAATAAATAAGGTCTACTAAAAATAAAGTTTAGTACCAAAGAGAACTTAATACAGTAATGTACTATATGCTTTGACCAGTGATGGGCCACAGTTCTGTGATTGGTTGTAGTGACCCTGAGAAATTCCCACAGCCTGATTATCTTACAGCTCTGCTAACTTGAGACCCATCACATGATGCAGTAGCAGGATCATGTAATCATGATAGTAGTTAAAAACAAAACAAAACAAAACTTCTATCCCTGCTTGGGAGCCCCCAGCTTTATAGTAGGAAAACACCCCTACTTGCCAGTTCAGAGTTGTGGGGCTGTTGTCAGTGCCTCCCCTGTCACTCAGGGTATTTAGAGCCATTCCTCCTTCCCAGGGCTCCTCCTATCCCTTTTGCTGACCTCACGGGGTGCACAAGCTGTAGGATTTCACCTTAGCGTAGCTGGCTGCCTGCATGCCCATGTGACCGGGAGCCCTACGATGGAAGAAGATGGTCTTGGTCCAGATTCGAGTCCCTGCATCTCAGATCTGCAGGAGCATCCTAACCGACTCTTCAAACCTCACCGAGCTTTTCAGACCTCTGGCTGCGCAGGGGTCCAGGCCTGCGTCTGACTCTCAGCAGGGCTGTTGTGAGGATTAATGTTTTAGCAGAAGCAATCTCCTGCCCCTCCAAAAAGACGTTAATGAAGTGAAAGGCTTTATTCCTCAGGGTTGCTTAATTTTTAGTGGCAATTTATACCGCCCTGTAGTGTCTGAAGTACAAGTGCTTGGTTTTCATGATGCCCAGGGGTATGCCAAATTAATCTACCATTCAGAATTCCTCTGTGGATGTCAGGTCAAGGATTGGTCTCTTAGAGGCAGCTAAGATGGGTCAGTGGGGAAGTGAGGATAGAATTCAGATCTCCAGAACCATCCTCAAACTTGGATGTGGTGGTGAATGTCCCTAACCCCCGTGCTCAGGAGGCAGAGACTGGAGGATACCCAGAGCTCATTGGCCAGCCAGTTTAGCCAGTCGGTTCTTGCCTCAGTAAGAGACCCTGTCTCAAAAAATACAGTGGAGAAAAGCAATGGAATACGATACTGATGTGTTTTTTAAACATTTTTATTAATTTTTGAGAGATTTATGTAATGTATTTTGATCATATTCATCCCAGCTGCTCCTTTTAACTCCCCCCAGATCTACACCAACATCCCTAACCCTACTTCCAATTTCATATCCTTTTAAAAATACATGATAATCCACCACCCCAGCATGTGAGTATCTACTTCTGGGCGTGGGGCCATCCACTGGGGTGTGGTTGACCTAACGGGCCACACCCTTAAAGAAACTGACTCTCCCTTCATGGAAGCAGGCAGCTATCCATAGCTCTTCGGTTGGGCGTAGAAACTCATGAGCCCCTTCCCACTCTCTGCGGGGCTGCTGACTGCCTTGGTGTCGCGCAGGCCACCACAACTGCTGTGAGTGCCTGCCAAGCTCCTGCCATGTCCAGAGACACCGTTTGTCCCTGGTCCTCCCTGATCTCTGGTTCTTAAAGTATTTTGTCCATCTCTCCCATGACTGCCTCTGAGCCTTGGGGAGAGAGGACACTCCAGGGTAGCCTCTGGGCTCCACATGCAAATTCACACCAGACACACACCACACACACACAGACACACACAGGCACACATTCACACCACACACACACACTCACATACTTACACACACATACACTCTCACACACACTCACTCTCACACACACACACTCTCTCTCACACATACACACTCACACATTCACACACATAAACACCACACACTCACATTCACAACTCACATACACACACACATATACTCTCTCTCACACATACTCTGTCTTACACACACACACTCTGTCACACACACACACACACACACACACGACCTCTCTGGTTTTGTTTATCTATAGCAGTGTTTCTCAACTGATGGGTCGAGACCCCTTTGGGGACACATATCAGATATTTACATTATGATTCACAACAATAGCCAAACTGCAGTTACGAAGTAGCAATGAAATAATTTTATGGTTGGGGGCCAGCGTAACACGAGGAACTGTATTAAAGAGTCACAGCCTTAGGAAGAGCGAGAGCCATTGTTCTGTAGGAAGACCCTACGCTCATGCAGGGGACAGGGCCCCGGGTGTTCTGAGCTGACAGCCCCGCCCTGGCGTTTTTCTCTGTCTCCTCACCTTCTGCCCGCTTTCTGGTTTGCAGTGAGATGAAGCAGAGGCTGGCTGAGGAGAACAGCAAGTGCAGCATCCTCTCGAAACACCAGAAGTTCGTGGAACGCTGCTGCATGCGGTGCTGCTCACCGTTCACCTTCCTGGTCAACGCCAGGCGCCGCTGCGGGGAATGCAAGTTCAGCGTCTGCAAGAGCTGTTGCTCCTACCAGAAGCGTGAGAAGCTGTGGGTCTGCTGTGTCTGCCAGCAAGCCAGGTGAGTGGCTGTGTCCTGGGAGGGCTGGGCTGATGGCGCCGCCACTTCCTCCCGCTGGGCGGGGTCAGCGCTGCTGCACAGGTGTGTCCCGATCACTAATGCTAGCCAAGGACTGTCTGAGAGGAGCCTCAGGAGAGTACAAAGGAGGCTGCTGGAATGAAACATGCAGCCTCTCCCATGCTCCACGCCCCCTTTGAAAATTCCTCCCCGGCAGCACTCAGGAGGCAGAGGCAGGCGATCTCTGTGAGTTCGAGGCCAGGCTGGTCTGACAGCCTCCAAAACAATACAGAGAAACCCTGTCTCATAAAAACAACAACAACAACAAAATATTCCTCCCTGGGTCTTACATTCTTTCCTAAGTATCCTGGGTTCGTTGTAACTGCCATGTACGTTGGAAACGTGAATGAACGGGTTCTTAATAAGGACACCAAAGAGCACATCAGTATCAGCCTCCACCTATGTTGCCACGGGCAGCCCCCCCCCCCGTCAACTTTTCCATCCACCGTGGGGACACTGAGCGTGGGCTGCCAAGCAGTGGGGTTTGGAGGAAGCCTCACAGAGGCCGGGAAATGAATACAGAATTGTCAAGACACAGTCGGTGTGTGCGAGGCTGGCGTGGGATGCTGCCGCTGCGTGAATACACTGACGAGTTTGCGGGTCGGCGTCTCCCTGGGATTTGCTGAGTGTCTGGGAACTGATGAGTTTGACAGTTGCTTTATCAATCTCCTTGTTCTAGCGTCTGTGCAACTCACTGTCATTCCCGGCTGCTCGGCGGCTCTGTGTGGCACCGCGGGAACAGGCTGGCTGTGCCTGAGCGCCCGGAGAGCTGACCTGAGCGCCCGGAGAGCTGACCTGCCTGTCTGTCTTTTTTCATCCCCACCTCTCCTCTCTCTGCTGTCTTCCTTAGATTCTTTAACACACAAAGGCCTAGTATTTTCCTAGAGATCTTCCTCATGGGGATAGTGGCTGAGTGGCTGAGTGGGGTCTCCAAGGAGGCAGGCTTTTCACTGTAAAGAGCCACACAGACCAGAGATGCCCGCGGCAGTGGGGAAGCGGTTTGTTCATCAGTCGGTGTCCAGGCTGGGGTGCTCCAGGCCCTGGGCTGTGCATAGCTTGGACCTGTCTCTCTTCCACATGGGGAATCAGTAGACAGGGAGAGCCCAGGACAAAGGGAAGACCCATCGTAGCTGGCTGTTGTGAGCCTGACCGGCTATGTCAGGAGCATAGACAAACATGTTTGTGTTTTTCCACAACGCCAGGATGTATTAGCGAATTCAAGGGTGTGGCAGTTTCAGCAACAGTGATTTACCAAATATCTGGGCCTTGCTTGATGACCTCAGATGAGCATGGGTTCTTTTATTCCGGTCTTAATTACTCATATGAACTCTCAGATCACAGGTTACACACACCACACCGTGAATCAATCAATCAATCTATCTATCTATCTTTATCATGTTTCTATCATCTATCTGTTGATCGATTGATCATGTACACGGAGCTTACAGAATGCTGCAAAGGGTTAAAGAGGCAAGAAGCCTCAAAAAGACCTGGAGAACTGTTAGGAGAGCAAGAGCATCTCGGGCAGGTGAGGGCAAGCGTGCGGAGGTCTCTGGAGATGTTTTGGCAGCTGCTGTAGGCTGAAGGGTCATAGCTGAGCTGGAGGCGTGAGGTGAACCAACAGGCAGGGCCAGGGCCTGATGAATGAGCAGCCGGACAGACGGACAGCAGGTCCAGACGGGTGAACAGGAAGGACAGGTAGACAGGTAGATGGCAGCTGCCGCAGCAAAAGGAACAGAGCTAAGCTGAGGCCCCAGAACGGCCGAGCGTTCCCCGTCCATCATCCTTGATGCACACGCCAAGTGGTCAGGTGACAGGCGGCAGGGGCTGTCACCGTCTCACTGTTGGATGTCCACTGCTTTGCAGGTCCAGGTGAGGGAATTAGACTCTTCAAACGTGTCCGCTGAGTTCTCAGATCTGGTTGTATACACCCATGTGTCCCTGTGGCACACTTGGTGTTTTGAGCCAGTCACTTACCGGTCAGTGCTGGGTGGGCAGCCCCTGTCAGATGGTGCCCATCCTGGAGTGCCTTCATCCTCTGCCCTTAAACAGCATCAAAGCCTCCGGTAAAACGGAGTCAGTCAGAGCAAGGCACAGGCTGAAAAGGCACTGTTTCCACAACGCAGAGTAACTCAGGGCAGGGAGCAGCCTGGTGAAGCAGCTGTGCTTGGGACTGGTAGGTGGGGCTGGCTCAGACTCGCGCTCCTTAGTGAGCACAGGGCCAGGCTCTGAGATAGGAGGGGGGGCGTACATCGGGGTGGAGGGGGGGCTCAACAGTTAGAGCGCTGGCTGCTCCTCCAGAGGACCCGGCTTCAGCTCCCAGTGGGCGGTGCTCAGCACACACTGGGATGGTCCTCCACCCTGAAAGGATGGTGCTCTGCACTGGGATGGTCCTCTACTCTGAGTTGGTGCTCTGAACTGGGGTGGTCCTCCACCCTGAGGTCAGTGCTGTGTACTGGGGATGGTCCTCCATTCTGAAGTTGGTGCTCTGCACTGGGATGGTCCTGCATCCCAAGGTTGGTGCTCTGCACTAGCGATGGTTCTCCATCTGAGGTTGGCGCCCTACACCAGAAATGGTCCTCCCCTGCACTCAGGATGGTGCTCCACACACACTGAATGTGGCTGTCTGCTCTGGAGACTCATACTAATCCCAGTATTGTCCTCTGTTGAAAACACCTCCAGGAGGAAAAGCGTGGGCTTGGCGGCCCCTCTTCCAAAAGCTAAGTCTATTAGCTTTGCAAGAACTCAATCTGGACTTGAACCCTGAGTTAATTACTTGTGTACTGTGTGATTCTAGGCAGGTTACTCCATCTTTCAGAGTTTGGGGAAAGTAATACTCACTCGGCTATAACCGGAAAGGGGGAAATGTAGACCTCTTAGCTCTGCCCTGGCTGTAATTACTTGCCACTGTTAATTCAGTTGCTGTCTTTCTGAAGTCTCAAAATAGGTATTTTCCTAATAAAATATTAAGCTAGTGTGATAGCTTCCGAGCAGAAGTCATTTCCTCCATTTGTGGTATTTCTTCATTTAGCACTGTAAAATAACTTAGTTTTATAAAAGTGTTTACTTCCCAGCACTGACCTGGGTCAGTTAAGATGAAGTTGGGGTCACAGATGAAGACTTGGTCTCCAGGGTGGAGGGTGTTAGGACTCAAATCATTGTTGAATAACTTTAATAGTGCATCGCTCTGTATCTCAGCATCCCCAGGGGTGCTGAGCCATGTAGGAGACATCAGCCTCCCAACAAAGCTGGTAAAATCATTTGTATTGTCCCACATTGTGCATTGCTCCTCTCTGCCCCCATAAAATAAGCAGAATTGTCCACTTAAGTTAGTGCTGCGTAGCTAATATCCGTTAACTTGGCCACAGGGGTAACCAGTATGGCCAAGTTGTGAGCTCCAGGTTTGTTGAGAGACCATATCAGTAAGAAAAATATCTCTTGTAGGTAAACGGGTGCTGGAAGTTAACGGAGGAGAAAGCTTATGCATCCTGACTGAGACGGCCATTTGCATTACTTTATCATTTGCGTGTTCGTGCTTCTTGGCTTTTGGTGTTATAAACCAGCGCTGTTTGTGCAAACAAATACCATATACTCCTTTGTACATTCACATGGCCTGTCCTTTCCAGGACACACAGCCTAGCCTGGCTCTCCTGTTGTGGCACACATGAGCACTTCCCTGCTGAACACGGGCCAAGTGCCCTCCAACGGGAGAATGCCACAGTCTGCAGACTCTGTAGAAGAGTCTCTGTGTCACACCCTTGCTAATAATCGATATTATAGTGTATTTTTTTGCTGGTATGTGTGTGTGCTGTTTGAACATATGTGTGTGTTCATATGCATGTGGGGCACACACGTGTGTGTGCATATGGAAGCCAGAGATGGCACCTGATGTCCTACTCTGTCATTCTCCCCCTTACACACCAAGGCAGGATCTCTCTCTCATGCAGACTCTCAGTCTGGATAACCAGCTTGCTCTGGGGATCCTGTCCCCCACCTCTCTGGCGCCGCCATCACTCCCACACGGTCTTTGTGTCGTTTGATGATCCAAGCTCTGGTCTGCACACTTACACACGGCAAGCACTTTGCCCCTGAGCCACCTCCCCAGCCTTAAATTATTTTTAGCATTGGTAAATCTGATAGATACAAGGATTCTAGTTGCATTTAACTTGCAAAACACAAGTTAGTTTGATTTGCATTTTGCTTTGTACATGGATTTAAACATCACTTTGTGTGTGTGTGTGTGTGTGTGTGTGTGTGTGTGTGTGTTCTCAGGTATGTTTATTTCTCCTTGATCAAGCTTCACTCATTTGGTTTTCAATGGCAAGGAGAGATCTCTTCACATGACTCACATCAGTCCCCACCTGCCCTTTCTTTTTTATATAGAGTAGTGACTGTGAACTTCTAAGATACAGCGCCCTCGGTGACGCCTTGTTCACCTCCCCTTACCCTGGCGATGCGTAAGGACAGCAGGAGGCGTCCCCCGTCCACATGCACCTTCTTCTCAGGTGTCTCATGGTTGAGAGGTTCTTTGTCCAGCCAGGTCCCGCCGCCCTTCTCAGCCCCAAATAAACACAAAGACGCTATATGAATTATAAAACTATTGGCCGATGACTAGAGCTTCTTACTGGCTAGCTCTGTCTTAATCATTAACACATTTCCATCGATCTACGTATTACCTCGAGGCTGTGGCTTACCCAGTAATGCTCCAGCATGTTGTTACTCCTTGGGCAGCATCATGACTCTGTGTCAGGCTCCATCTGCCTACCTTTCCCAGAATTCTCCTCGACCTAGTCCCACCTATCTTCCTTATTGACCAACAGTGCTTCACTCGTCAACCGGTAAGAGAAACATATATACAGAAGAACATTCCTGGCAGTTTAAATCACGGTACAATGGGGCCGGGATCTCGCTGTATGTCTGCCTGGCCTCGTCTCTTCTTCGCT